GGACGATAGATGTCTTATATCGGGATATGAGATTTTGGTCATATCGCACAGCCCTACTCCTCTAAGAACATCCAAGACACGAGGGGATCTACTGTGAGCATCTTCAGGGCTTTAACTTCGCCATAAATGCCACCCAGACAGCAGAGCAGTGAAAACAAAGCCAAACTGTAGTCATGCCACATCTTTTAAATACAAATTAAAAAACATGATCGGATGTTGACTAATTTGAAGCCTCTTCACATGTGAGAAACATGCCTTTGTAAACTTCTCTGTTATTACACGCTGATGGGAAGCCTCATGCCTTACTCATTATTACCGCCCTGTTAGTTATTTGAGTAATTAATCCAGCAGCAGCTGAATGAAATATTACTGAGTGGGGGTTTTCCACATCGGTACAGTTAGTACTGATGTCGCAAAACTCGGGGACAGTCACAGGAGCGGTATTTACCAAGAAAGTATTTTCAGTGATTCACTACACCCACCTGGCTGCGTGGCGGTTAAACTGAACAATAAATCTATGTCTGAAAACCCCAGACCAGCACCAAAATTCAGAGATCAAAACAGGAGAGCAAGCAGCATCCAGTTCAACTGCATTCACACACACAGAGAGACACACTCACTCTCACAGAGCAGGGCAGTTTGAAATTCCTGGTGTGTCCCATAAACACAGGGTACTGTAACCATGTGGCCGACGCCCTACGACCCCCCTCGCCTGTCCCAAATAGCTAGGTTTTGTTCTGAGAAATAAGCCTTTTCTTTTCAAATAAATAATTTTTGGCTGGAGTCATGCATTTTTCCCCCGAGTGTGGTCACGACCAAAATTATACAGAGTCTCTTCTGCGATTGAATTGCATCTTGCATAACTTTGACTGGATGAGTATTTTTAAACTCTTCACTGAATGGCGCAGGGCTTTTTTTTTCTTTAATTAACTTGCACATTATGGCTAATTAAAAAGCAGCTATTTCTTATTTGGAATATATGGTTAAGGCTCGGGTTGTAACGTGGGCTTAGGTGCACTGCTGAGAAATAGTCTAACTAAATTTAACTTAAGGTCAAGTTTTTGGAAACATTCACTGATATTACAAACTGAAAAAATACTATTTTTAAGGTGTTCAAACCACTAGTGGATCCCTTTAAACAACCCAAACTTTATTTTAAGAAGGAAACTGCACTTAACATAGATTATGTCGGTACCCACTTATTTTTAAAATGCTTAAAATAAAATTTTACGGTACCTCTGAATCTCCCAAATTGCTCCATGTGGAACACGTAGCTCCTTTAGGTGTCTATTTTTTTCTCCATAAAACTTTTCCTTGCTTGATAATTAGATGAAAATGACTAAAACGCCCTTTTGTTTTATTACATGTGTGCTGCTTTTTGGTCGTTAGCGTCAGTCTGTTAGTCATCTTCAGTTAGTTACCATTTTTGTGTTATCTTGTTGTTGCATTGTCAAAAAATGTCTGTATTCGTAATCTTATCCCACCTACAAAGTTGTGATTTTGTTGGATACAGTCCTGTGATGTGTGTCTGTGTGGAAAAAATGCAGGGAGAAATGCACTGGTGTGCATGCAGCTATGTTTAATAGTGTATGACGTGTGTAAATTGTACCATCAAGAATCCAGTACTCGTCTTTTAGAGCTTGCAGAGTCATATGAAAAGATGACAGGAAATTGTGTTTAATATTTAAGCTAAATCTGTGATAAACATCCTTTTGCTCTAACAACAAAAAAAGATTTGTTTTTGCGTTTGTGTGGAGGAAGTCGAGCCCTCTTCCAAAATATGTAGTGCAAAATCTTACTCTGCGCCTGACATGTAGACAGATACACTGATATGAGGTATTGTTTGGGCTCTAGGGAAGACTGCAGATTGGTAAAATGATAAAGCCCAAACATCTGCCCTGTCAGCAGTAATTTAAGCTTTATTCACTTCAAGTGAGAGTTTTAAAAGGTTAAAGTAGCATCTCAGTGAGTAGTTGACCACACGTGAAGGTATCAATAATTTTAAAGACGTGGCAGATCTAGGAAACGTAAAAACTGCCAGTTATCAGAAGATATTCTGTTAGACAAGAGAGCAATGACCTCACAGTGTTTATTTGGAGCATGAACATCAAAACAGCGCGCCCATTCACAGCCTGCTCCAGACCTAATGTTGAGCTGATTTTACATTTCTCCTCTCATTAATCAACTGTGGAGGCCAAAGAGAACACACTTTGTTCTTTGCCCCTATCACCAGCATCCTCATGCAACACGCACACACACACAACTGAGGCTGGCAGGCTGAGACTAGACAGGGTCTGTGTTTGATTTAGAAGATCCTAATGTGATTAGGTCTGTTTAGATTTGCACTTCCAGTCACGGCCGTATCAAGGCCAGGGGAATGTTCAAATCATGATGATGCTCAAAGATTCACCAAGAGTTTAACCAACAGGTCAAAAGCACGAACAGATTGAGCTGTTTTTAATATATTGACGGGAACAAAACAGTTTAACGTGGTAACTTTAAACAGTAATTGGTCTGTGTGTGTCCACAGGGATCATTAAAGTGGGCCGGTGGAAGCCGATGCCCATCCACTACCTAACAGATGCTCCGGAGGCCACGGTAGCGGACATGCTGCTGGATGTTTACCACATGGTCACACTGCGGATCCTACTGCACAGGTCAGCTTTGTGTATTGCAGATTGTAAATAGGAATAGGAATTTTTTTTTTTTTTGTTTGCATCCATGGTGAAGCATCCCCTCAAAATAAGTACCAGGCACACCAGCTGACTTGATTTTGTTCATCTAATTTCATTTTGCAGAGTTTTGGGGCACTTTGCAGTAACAGAACTGCAGTGTGTGTATCTGCTGCGTGTGCTTGGTGGACATATGGAGATGACCATATGTA